AAACCGCTCGGACAACACGACCACAGCGCTTCCTCCGAAAAAACAAGGGAAAAAAAAAAAGTTATCTCTGCTGCGTGCCCTTTCCACTCCCCACAGCACCGCCAAAAACAGACAATGTGGGACATTCCAAACAAACAAAAAGATACCCGAAAACAACGCTGATTTCAGCCGCCCCGCTGCAAACATTGTGTGGTGAACAATACGATGCGGCTTGAGCAAGACATTTTTTTTCTAAGGATGTTAATTTCAAGGAATTCTGCCCTCGGAGGTAGTACCGTCGACACGACAGAGGCTGGATGGCATATGTCCGTCAAGGAATGTCAGAAATAAGTGTGACTTTTCACACATTTCGGAAGTCACACCAGACGCCGACGTGGACCTTGTTGGGCATCCAATTAATCGATTGCAGGATGCGGTGACGCAAAGTCGCGGCATGTTTTTGGGGGAACGGCAGATAAATTCCGGTCCTTCTGTGATCGCTGTTTTGCAGGATCTGTGTGTCCAAACAAATCATGTAAGAATTTTCCAAACCATTCGTTTTAGAGTCAAAACTCTCCAAAACACCAAGTAGACATTACAAGAAGTGTTTCTCTGCCCGCTATCAAAGAAATTTGAAGACATGTGTTGCAATGTGAGCAGGATAGGTCTCCTCCAAGCTGCCCAACTTGATCTTTAGATGGCGAGCCAGGAGGAGGAAAGAGTCCATACCTCAACTTTTAAGAGCTCTCTGTGGAGCGCTTGTCATTTGACTTGACAGCAGAGGCCGAGGGGAGCGAAGGCCTTTTAAATTCCCTGTTTATCCTCCTGAGATATTCATCAGAGGAAGCTTAAGCCGAGAAGGGCGCGGTGTGTCTGAGATGAAGTGGTCGTGACGCACGGCGACTCACCTCAAGGGTTTGCATCAGCGTGGGTTTGATGGCGTCCTTCATAAGCACGGCCAGCGCCCCGCTCACGCCCTGACAGCAGACAGAAACATCCAGGCCGGTGGTTGGATACGATATTGTGGAGCTTTTTTTTTTCTAAGGATGTTAATTTCAAGGAATTCCGCCCTCGGAGGTAGTACTGTCGACATGACAGAGGCTGGATGGCATATGTCTGTCAAGGAATGTCAGAAATAAGTGTGACTTTTCACACATTTCGGAAGTCACACCAGATGCCAACGTGGACCTTGTTGGGCATCCAATTAATCGATTACAGGATGCGGTGACGCAAAGTTGCAGCGAGGTTTTGGGTGAACGGCAGATAAATTCTGGGTCTTCTCTTCTGACTGTTTTGCAGGATCTGTGTGTCCAAACGAATCATGTAAGAATTTTCCAAACCATTCGTTTTATCGTCAAAACTCTCCAAAATACCAAGTAGACATTACAAGAAGTGTTTCTCTGCCCGCTATCAAAGAAATTTGAAGACATGTGTTGCAATGTGAGCAGGATAGGTCTCCTCCAAGCTGCCCAACTTGATGTGTGACTTTTCACACATTTCGGAAGTCACACCAGATGCCAACGTGGACCTTGTTGGGCATCCAATTAATCGATTACAGGATGCGGTGACGCAAAGTTGCAGCGAGGTTTTGGGTGAACGGCAGATAAATTCTGGGTCTTCTCTTCTGACTGTTTTGCAGGATCTGTGTGTCCAAACGAATCATGTAAGAATTTTCCAAACCATTCGTTTTATCGTCAAAACTCTCCAAAATACCAAGTAGACATTACAAGAAGTGTTTCTCTGCCCGCTATCAAAGAAATTTCAAGACATGTGTTGCAATGTGAGCAAGATAGGTCTCCTCCAAGCTGCCCGACTTTAGATGGCGAGCCAGGAGGAGGAAAGAGTCCATACCTCAACTTTTAAGAGCTCTCTGTGGAGCGCTTGTCATTTGACTTGACAGCAGAGGCCGAGGGGAGCGAAGGCCTTTTAAATTCCCTGTTTATCCTCCTGAGATATTCATCAGAGGAAGCTTAAGCCGAGAAGGGCGCGGTGTGTCTGAGATGAAGTGGTCGTGACGCACGGCGACTCACCTCAAGGGTTTGCATCAGCGTGGGTTTGATGGCGTCCTTCATAAGCACGGCCAGCGCCCCGCTCACACCCTGACAGTAGACAGAAACATCCGGGCCGGTGGTTGGATACCATATTGTGGAGTGAGCACACATCGGAGTCTACTACAACACGAATACAACCTCATATATAACAATGTCTTAAGTGAACGGTGTTTGAAGGCCAAATTCTAGAAAAAATAAGTAGAATTGTCCAAGATGAAGAATTAAGATTCAAGGGTCAAACCACAACCTGATTAATGGCTTGATTTAAGAGGTGTTATTCAGCAATTATGTCATACACCGTATTTCCACAGATCCTTAAGTGTGGGTGGTAAGAGACTAATGTGATTTAATAGCGGAGCCTACACTGCCCTTGAAATAACACATGCCACAGTCCTCCATGGGAAACCAGAGCCGGTTGACCTTGTCGGGTGGACATGCTGAGTGGTGCTTAAATGAGATGTTTTCTTTTACATTTTTTTAAGGTGGGGGAGGGGGGCTGAGGGGGTGGATTTACCATGTTGTTTTGGCCGGTTCAACTGCAAATCGGGGACATCTGCATTCATTGTGAAAGCAGACCGTCACAAAGAAAGACTTAATCGTCGCAATTATAAACACACATGAATGAAACTCCCATTTTCCTGCAGGAATGGGCCGTCTGCCAGAGCCAAGATAGCCATGATCTCGCTGGCCACCGCAATGTCGAAGCCTGTCTAGAGTGTGTGACAAAAACATGCACAATGTAAACTACAAAGAAAAAAAAGCCAATTAAGAGAGTTGAAATAAATTATGATATTGACTTTGATAAATGCATGTTGTCGTGACATAACTGCTGGGGATGAAATGAGCAGCCCTTGGTTTTAAACAGACTAGATCATTTTTGGGTCACATTTACTTGCGAGTGGGGACGACCCGCTGAGAGAAGTACAGAAAACCCAAGCTGAAAATGTAAAATGACTTTTCACTACAGGGATCCACCGACGGACGGAATATTTCTTTCCCCCGCCCCCCCCCTCCCTCTGTTGGAAAACCCTCAGGGGCGAAACTGTATTTAGTGAAGGATGAACCAAAACGAAGGCGATAAACGTAAGCATGTGCTGAACCAGTTGAGAAACTACGCTAGGTGTAAGTATGTGTGCGTGGATCATTTTTCGCCTTCTTCAAATATTTGCTTTGACTTTGGCTCGCTGGGTTCCTACTGGAGGAGAAATGTTCGCGTGCGGGATTTCATTAACTGTCCTCAACGAAGAGATATGAGGGTTTTTTTTCACAGCATGTGAGAGTGGGTACTTGGGTAGTCACCTACAACCTGACCTATGAACACCCCCAAAGAGCACCAAAACAAAAACTTTTTTTTTTTGCAGATTTTTGTCTTTGTTGTGAAGTTACACACTCAAGGACAAAATATAAAACAAAGTTTCTGCCTGTAATTCATATTTATCGTGGCACCAAAAAGTTATTTTAATTATTTTTTAATTCATTGGACGATAAATCTGTTATCTGTTTTTTTTTTTTTTGCGATCCCAAAAAATGGTTTCATCTTTGTGCAATGATCATGCACTTAAAAATAAAAATAAAAAATTGAACAAACAAACCTCTCTGATTTGTCCTTTTTCAGTGCTGGCCTGCCCGACGGTGATCTTCCTCAAAAAGCGGTCATTTGTATCAACCACTGTAAAACAAGGGAAAAGAAAGGGGGGTTGCACTTCCTGCAGTATAGTACTACTGAAAGACGCAAACACTGACACACCTGAAAAAAATGTTAAAAAGGGGAGAGGGTTTATCTCCCGTGACACACTTAAAAGTGCTTATCATGTTGCGGGGTTAAAAATGCTCTTTTCACCCCCATTCTCTCGGATGCTGGAATGTTTACTGCCACTTCTGGTGTTACACATATTAATTTTTTTTTTTTTAAAAACCACAAATACAGTTAACTTTAGTTCAGATGATGGGGAGTGTTTTTGTAATCTGTGTGCTTTTTAAAAAGGATGCCCGCTGGACTAAATATTACATCTCTCACTGTCAACATAAAACCAACACAGCTCCTCGCTGTTCATGCTTTTAATTTATTTTTATTTTTTTTACCTCTCTGCCAGGTGATCTTGGAAGGGTCGAGGTCAAGACGGACAAAAGAACTAACTTCCTGGGGCGTGAGAGAGGCAGGGTCGCTTTTGTCGATGCCGAGACGCTGGAATGAAAAGAGATGAGATGTGAGAACAAGCTGTGGTGCTCCTCCCTTCGGGACGTATGTGCTTTGTTCAAAACGACTCGACTTTGTGTTCATAAGGACATTTGCGATATTGAATTGAAAAAAACAGTATCGCTTCACCTTTTGGGGACAGTGCCATGAAATGATCATCACCTGATAAATATTTCACAAGGAGTCCAAACTCGATCTCTGTATAACTCTTAAATTCATATTTATTGTCCTTACCAAGTAACTTTCCAAGAATTATGACATTGTCAATGGTTTCACAATAAAATGAACCCTATATAAAACTCTGGGCTCACACAAACTCGTATAATGCTGTACTTGGGAGGACGGGAACAGCTGGAGAATTTGAAGACAGGATAACTGATCCCACTTACGCGCAGCCTGGCAACCTGGATGGGCGAAAATCTTCTCACTCCGTTGACTGACGGCACCAGTCGACTGTACAGACCCTTGGATTGGACAAACCAGACAAAAGGCGGTTCGTTTGAGGGAACGCAACACTTTTGGGTGCAATTATCTTCATACCTTGTCCGACTGGGTGGCCTCGTGAAGCATCCTGGCGTCGATGGCTGCCGCCACCAAGTTGTTAGCAGCGGTGATGGCGTGAATGTCACCCGTCAGATGGAGGTTGAACTAAAACGCAGACAGAAACCTAAATTCTTATTGTTGTTTCTTGGAAAGTGCACAACTTTATTTTCCCCAAAATTTTATTCTCTTTATTCCGCGGGGTTTCTCTTAGCTGCACAGGGTTTATGTTCGATTTTGTGCAAGACATAAGCTTGCTTGTCTTATTTGGATGGCTGGAGCTTTGAAGATGAACTCCTTGCCTTGTGTCCCACTTCTCCATGTCAACCTTTTTGACTCTGTTACTTTGAAGATTTTTTTTTTTCCAAGGGAACACTAATCCTGCTAAGGGAGGCTGTGTGTGTGTGTGTGTGTGTGTGTGTGTGTGTGTGTTTTACCTCCTCCATTGGGATGACCTGAGCATATCCCCCTCCTGCAGCTCCCCCTAGACACGAGAAGAAAAAAAAAAAAAAAGCACGGTCAGAGGCATACAACAAGACAGGGACGCACAAAGACGGAGTGCTGAGTACTGGACTCTGAATGAACTGCTCACTCCATGACACAAAAAGGCATTAGGGTATGAAATGACAGCTACATGCTGACAAGAGACACAAAAAAGAAAACCCTGATACGTTCCAAAGTAGCAAATGTCCGTTGATGGCTTTGCCGAAAGAACACTTGAGTGTAGTCACGTGGATGGAAGATTTTCTTGCCATCTAAACCATTAAAAATGTCATTTGATTTCTACTTTTACACCAAATAAGACCCATTGTTAACAATAGTGTAGCTGTTTTTCCTCGAAAAAAATAAAATACAGTACATCTTTATTTATATAGTGCTTTCACGACCGCTGCAGCTGTAACAGAAGATTTAACTTAGAATAATATCTAAAATCCACCTTTGTGAAAGGCCAAAAATGCTTTAGTTTGTTTATAAAATTAATTTTGAGCTCAAGCAGTGAGTAGGCCCTCTTCAAATTGCTCCATTTCAGAGTTTTTATAAAGCAAGGATGAATAGATCAGAATATTGAGGGCTTTCCCAATTAAAAAAAAAAAAAAAAAAACACTTGCAGGTTTCGCCACACCTGAAATCTGTCTCACTTCACGACATGAAATTTTGCAGGAATTTAGGTGGCATGCCTGTCATGAATAGACCGAAAACAAATTCTCAATCAGCCACGTCTGAAAAGAACAGAGGAACTATGCCATTTGGGTTTAGAAGCAGCCATGCCAGGGTCACTTTGGCCCTTTTAAGGATTTTTTTTTTTTAAACTAGGTGTCCTCCAAAGGTGAACTAGGATTTGGACTACGCTAATAATCTGACACGTAAGGGCCTGTTCATCACTCCTTGCAGCTTTAAGTATTTGTGTATTTCTCAGTGGTGTAGAACGTCACTTTTTGTAATAAGTAGCTCCCATGTTGCTTAAAAAAAAAATTAATCTTAGCAAAATATTGAAAACACCTCTCACTATGTAGCAGCGCACACTGCAGCACTGTAACTACAGTGCTGCGGTATCGCTAATTTCGTAGACTGGGTGAGGGTTTCGATCAGAGGTGTCAAACTTGTTTCATTTGTGGGCCTTGTGGTTGAGGTGAACAACCACGCCACGCCGTCCTTACCCTTAACCCCAAAGGTGGGTCCCTGAGAGGGTTGTCGTAGACAGGCGAAAGAGTTAAGCTTCAGGTGAGCAGACAAGGCCTGCACTAAGCCGATGGTCACGGTGCTCTTCCCTTCGCCGAGGGGGGTCGGAGTTACGCTAACAGAAAACAGACAAGTTTTAGCCTCGCGTTTCTGAAGGAGTGATGGGAACACCAAGCCAAAAGTGATGACATCAACTCACCCGGCAACCAGAACGTATCTGCCGTCAGGCTGCGCTCGGAGGCGGTCCAACAAGGAGAGGCGGACTTTTGCTTTGCTCCTGCCGTAAGCTTCGAGCTCTTCTGGCAACAGGCCAATCTCCTCTGCCAACTGGTCAACTGCCTTGGGGGTCTGAGCTCTGGAAATCTCAATGTCACTGGCAAACAAAAACAGTGCACGCACAAAAAAAAACAAAACAAGCGCCACATTCAAATCAGTCCATTCAAGGGTTATGCAGAAATGGCGAAATGTCACATGAACGAGACCTTGATGTACCTTGGTACGGGCGTCAGGGGCTGTAGGTTGAGACTGCGCAGTCGCCAGGGTCGATACTGCTGCTCCTGGAGCCTCCGACTGCTGCTGTGCACCACATTCTTGTACACAATAAATAAATAAATAAATACAACACAATACAATACAAAACAAGTCGTCCTAGCTGACAAAGGGGCATACCTGTATTCTGTACGCTGCTGTCAGATACGCCAACCCGGACTTTGAAGACATCCCGGACTCATCTGAAAATGAACAAACCGATTGAGTACTATGCGGTCCACGACAAAAACTAGTTGGTCAACCCTGCTCCACAACAGAGAGAAAGAAGACTGCAAGCCGGCATTGCTTCCAGTACCTGTGTGTAGGGTGGGCTCCCAACGGATGACCGCAGCCCCCGGCTTGATCCAGGTGGATGGAATCTCAAGATGATCTGCACCGAGTAGGACCACAGCATCAGCCTCCATCACCTGGGAAAATGATTCCCATTATGAGTCATCAAAACAACGGCAGTGAATAGAAGCCACAAAAAGAGGAAAACATACTTGTCTCTGTAGGTTCTTGGTATTGGAATGACTTTTGAGAACGGCCATTCCACTTCTCTCCAGGAAGCACTGCAGGGCCACTCCAGGAGGTCCTTCAGCAACGATCATCGCTACTCTTCTTTCTTCTACAGGTGAATCTAGAGCAACATATTTTGCTTTGACAATATTGTGTAGCTTTCATTAACATTCACTCATTCCTGTCTTCTGAATTAATATACGATAGAGATTTTATGAACCGCAGACTGATTAACCAACCAGTCGATTTAAATCACCCCATTAATCCCCCCAAATGATTGTAATCGATACTTATGGGGAAGCTTCAAGGGACCAAAAAAAAAAAGTTACTTCATTCATTATGTGTGTTTTTTTTTAATTAATTGGTCATCTGAATTTTATTCTTCCGAATATCAGAATTGGCCTCAAATATCCGTGTCAGTCAAGCCCTAGATTTTATAAAGTGGACTGCAGTGGTTGCTTCAGGTATGAGTGACCCAACTTCAGAGTTTGTCGAAGTACGAGCCCTCGTTTTTCCTCAATTTTTGACTGTCAAGCAAAAATTTGACACGCTAGTGCGATATGGTGGCAGGGAATGCAACTTATGTCAATTCATAGCAATCAGCAGCGAGGCACAGTGAACAAATCTTTAAAAAGGAAAAAAAAAAAAAAAACAACCACACATAAAAAGCCAGTCTGTCAAAGTGTGCATTCAGAAATGATTCGGGGAAAAAAAGATGTCACAAGGCAACACGTGCGGAGTTACCTCACCGTGTTTTCGCAACAGGTCCATGACGGCGCTGGCAACAGGCGGCACAAAGCCTTTGTTCAGGTCCCCTTGCACCAAACGGCCCGTGTTCAAATATGTTATCCTATCGTAAAAGATGGGAGAGAAGCACACGTATTGAATGGGTCTGAGTAACATACATAACAAGATTTGTCTACCTTTCGTCAAGGAATTTCCAGCAACGCCGTTGAAATGCTATGTTCTCATGAAGCATAAAGCAGGGTACCCCAAAGTGTTGAACGTGCAAGCATTTCTATTTTCGTTGGAATTGAGAAAAGCATCTGCATATGTGGGAACGTATTACTGCGTCAATGAGGTGGACATGGAAGGACAAGGCCAAAATCAAGACCAGTGGATGATTTGACCAATATTTTCAGGTTTCTACTTCCCACTGACACTATCAGAGAGGCATTCGTTGAAAAAAAAAATGTGAAAAAGGCTGTACAGAATTTTTGTTGCTTCAGTTCAACGAGGACTACTTTTCTGTTAGATAGCGTGGTGGCGCCATCTTGTGGCATCTTGATGCAGAGGAACTCGGAGACGAACTTTATAAGTCAATGGAAGCAAGCCTAAAAAGCAGAAGAAGTTACAAGAAAATTGTTGCAGCATGTGTACACGTACATGCCTGCCGCCATTTTTTTTCTTGAATCAAATCATTTGAAGGGATGGCAATTGAAATTAATCAGCAAAAAAGATCTCTAATAATCAATACCAGTTGGCCCTAGGTTAAATAATTAATAACTGCAATTATCGACATTTCAAACATTTTGGGGAGGGCATCAATGACTCAAATACAGCAATTATTCGTAACAAAGCCCCGCCCCCATGACTGTATTCCAAAGCTGCCATTTTAATGACACACTTTAAATAATTAAACCTCTCTATAAAATGTGAGCCATTGTGGATTCCTCCAAGTTTTTACCCATCTACGTCCTTCTCGGGTTTGAGAGCGTCGAGCACTCGGCTGGTGAGGGAAGCAGGGGGAAGGTGGAGGTAAATGCCGTGCACCCTGGGGTCCTCGTTCAGCTTCAACACCTCCTCGACAATCTATTCATGCGGACAAAGCAAACAAACGTGTGACGCAACTTGAGCTAACAGCTGAAGGCATTAAAAAAAAAAAATGGAACACACATCAACTCATTTCAGGAAATGAATAATGTGATCATATAAAAAGAGAAGAACATTTAGGTTGCCCATCGCCGCTCTCCACGTATTCGTTTATTCGTCTTTGCTGAAGATTTAACCAACCAATAAAGACAAATGGGGAAATCTTTTATTTGCAAAATGCACTATTGATATAGCTTCACGTGGTGAAAGACCGATAAATAGCCCTGACAAGGGCCAAGATCCCATGTGAAGTCAATTTCGTCTCATGTCAGATGTCAGTAAGTCACAGTTCAGCAATCATTTAATTGGATTTTGCAGTTCAGATGTGGCTGATCACATGCCGTCCAAACAAACAGCCGACGGAATGCTAAGAGCATGCACAGACCCCTTTTAAGGATTTTTTTTTTTTAAACTAGGTGTCCTCCAAAGGTGAACTAGGATTTGGACTACGCTAATAATCTGACACGTAAGGGCCTGTTCATCACTCCTTGCAGCTTTAAGTATTTGTGTATTTCTCAGTGGTGTAGAACGTCACTTTTTGTAATAAGTAGCTCCCATGTTGCTTAAAAAAAAAATTAATCTTAGCAAAATATTGAAAACACCTCTCACTATGTAGCAGCGCACACTGCAGCACTGTAACTACAGTGCTGCGGTATCGCTAATTTCGTAGACTGGGTGAGGGTTTCGATCAGAGGTGTCAAACTTGTTTCATTTGTGGGCCTTGTGGTTGAGGTGAACAACCACGCCACGCCGTCCTTACCCTTAACCCCAAAGGTGGGTCCCTGAGAGGGTTGTCGTAGACAGGCGAAAGAGTTAAGCTTCAGGTGAGCAGACAAGGCCTGCACTAAGCCGATGGTCACGGTGCTCTTCCCTTCGCCGAGGGGGGTCGGAGTTACGCTAACAGAAAACAGACAAGTTTTAGCCTCGCGTTTCTGAAGGAGTGATGGGAACACCAAGCCAAAAGTGATGACATCAACTCACCCGGCAACCAGAACGTATCTGCCGTCAGGCTGCGCTCGGAGGCGGTCCAACAAGGAGAGGCGGACTTTTGCTTTGCTCCTGCCGTAAGCTTCGAGCTCTTCTGGCAACAGGCCAATCTCCTCTGCCAACTGGTCAACTGCCTTGGGGGTCTGAGCTCTGGAAATCTCAATGTCACTGGCAAACAAAAACAGTGCACGCACAAAAAAAAACAAAACAAGCGCCACATTCAAATCAGTCCATTCAAGGGTTATGCAGAAATGGCGAAATGTCACATGAACGAGACCTTGATGTACCTTGGTACGGGCGTCAGGGGCTGTAGGTTGAGACTGCGCAGTCGCCAGGGTCGATACTGCTGCTCCTGGAGCCTCCGACTGCTGCTGTGCACCACATTCTTGTACACAATAAATAAATAAATAAATACAACACAATACAATACAAAACAAGTCGTCCTAGCTGACAAAGGGGCATACCTGTATTCTGTACGCTGCTGTCAGATACGCCAACCCGGACTTTGAAGACATCCCGGACTCATCTGAAAATGAACAAACCGATTGAGTACTATGCGGTCCACGACAAAAACTAGTTGGTCAACCCTGCTCCACAACAGAGAGAAAGAAGACTGCAAGCCGGCATTGCTTCCAGTACCTGTGTGTAGGGTGGGCTCCCAACGGATGACCGCAGCCCCCGGCTTGATCCAGGTGGATGGAATCTCAAGATGATCTGCACCGAGTAGGACCACAGCATCAGCCTCCATCACCTGGGAAAATGATTCCCATTATGAGTCATCAAAACAACGGCAGTGAATAGAAGCCACAAAAAGAGGAAAACATACTTGTCTCTGTAGGTTCTTGGTATTGGAATGACTTTTGAGAACGGCCATTCCACTTCTCTCCAGGAAGCACTGCAGGGCCACTCCAGGAGGTCCTTCAGCAACGATCATCGCTACTCTTCTTTCTTCTACAGGTGAATCTAGAGCAACATATTTTGCTTTGACAATATTGTGTAGCTTTCATTAACATTCACTCATTCCTGTCTTCTGAATTAATATACGATAGAGATTTTATGAACCGCAGACTGATTAACCAACCAGTCGATTTAAATCACCCCATTAATCCCCCCAAATGATTGTAATCGATACTTATGGGGAAGCTTCAAGGGACCAAAAAAAAAAAGTTACTTCATTCATTATGTGTGTTTTTTTTTAATTAATTGGTCATCTGAATTTTATTCTTCCGAATATCAGAATTGGCCTCAAATATCCGTGTCAGTCAAGCCCTAGATTTTATAAAGTGGACTGCAGTGGTTGCTTCAGGTATGAGTGACCCAACTTCAGAGTTTGGCGAAGTACGAGCCCTCGTTTTTTCTCCATTTTTGACTGTCAAGCAAAAATTTGACACGCTAGTGCGATATGGTGGCAGGGAATGCAACTTATGTCAATTCATAGCAATCAGCAGCGAGGCACAGTGAACAAATCTTTAAAAAGGAAAAAAAAAAAAAAAACAACCACACATAAAAAGCCAGTCTGTCAAAGTGTGCATTCAGAAATGATTCGGGGAAAAAAAGATGTCACAAGGCAACACGTGCGGAGTTACCTCACCGTGTTTTCGCAACAGGTCCATGACGGCGCTGGCAACAGGCGGCACAAAGCCTTTGTTCAGGTCCCCTTGCACCAAACGGCCCGTGTTCAAATATGTTATCCTATCGTAAAAGATGGGAGAGAAGCACACGTATTGAATGGGTCTGAGTAACATACATAACAAGATTTGTCTACCTTTCGTCAAGGAATTTCCAGCAACGCCGTTGAAATGCTATGTTCTCATGAAGCATAAAGCAGGGTACCCCAAAGTGTTGAACGTGCAAGCATTTCTATTTTCGTTGGAATTGAGAAAAGCATCTGCATATGTGGGAACGTATTACTGCGTCAATGAGGTGGACATGGAAGGACAAGGCCAAAATCAAGACCAGTGGATGATTTGACCAATATTTTCAGGTTTCTACTTCCCACTGACACTATCAGAGAGGCATTCGTTGAAAAAAAAAATGTGAAAAAGGCTGTACAGAATTTTTGTTGCTTCAGTTCAACGAGGACTACTTTTCTGTTAGATAGCGTGGTGGCGCCATCTTGTGGCATCTTGATGCAGAGGAACTCGGAGACGAACTTTATAAGTCAATGGAAGCAAGCCTAAAAAGCAGAAGAAGTTACAAGAAAATTGTTGCAGCATGTGTACACGTACATGCCTGCCGCCATTTTTTTTCTTGAATCAAATCATTTGAAGGGATGGCAATTGAAATTAATCAGCAAAAAAGATCTCTAATAATCAATACCAGTTGGCCCTAGGTTAAATAATTAATAACTGCAATTATCGACATTTCAAACATTTTGGGGAGGGCATCAATGACTCAAATACAGCAATTATTCGTAACAAAGCCCCGCCCCCATGACTGTATTCCAAAGCTGCCATTTTAATGACACACTTTAAATAATTAAACCTCTCTATAAAATGTGAGCCATTGTGGATTCCTCCAAGTTTTTACCCATCTACGTCCTTCTCGGGTTTGAGAGCGTCGAGCACTCGGCTGGTGAGGGAAGCAGGGGGAAGGTGGAGGTAAATGCCGTGCACCCTGGGGTCCTCGTTCAGCTTCAACACCTCCTCGACAATCTATTCATGCGGACAAAGCAAACAAACGTGTGACGCAACTTGAGCTAACAGCTGAAGGCATTAAAAAAAAAAAATGGAACACACATCAACTCATTTCAGGAAATGAATAATGTGATCATATAAAAAGAGAAGAACATTTAGGTTGCCCATCGCCGCTCTCCACGTATTCGTTTATTCGTCTTTGCTGAAGATTTAACCAACCAATAAAGACAAATGGGGAAATCTTTTATTTGCAAAATGCACTATTGATATAGCTTCACGTGGTGAAAGACCGATAAATAGCCCTGACAAGGGCCAAGATCCCATGTGAAGTCAATTTCGTCTCATGTCAGATGTCAGTAAGTCACAGTTCAGCAATCATTTAATTGGATTTTGCAGTTCAGATGTGGCTGATCACATGCCGTCCAAACAAACAGCCGACGGAATGCTAAGAGCATGCACAGACTCGCTATAGTGCCTGTTGAGTTCACTTTTTTTTTTTTTTTTTGCTCCACTTACTTCATCTTCACTGTCCTTGGCGAGACAGATCTGTGTGACGTTTAAGCCAACCTGTGGGAGAATGTCATGAAAAAGCGATCGTCTGCAACGTGGTATAGAATGGTGAGGACAAAAAAAAAAAAAAAAAAAGAAAGGAGGTTAGTTATTCATTCAAATGTAACTATTACCTTTCCTGCTATTTTCTTATTGATCTCCAACAGGCTGTCATCTTCACCCACCTTTGAAATAAAATTACTCTGAAGCCATGTAATGTTTTAACGGAGTTTGAGTAAAATATAAAAGCCATGACCACCTGTATGATGGCAAGCAGCGGCTGGACTGCTAGATTCTTTCTCTGCAGGGCCACGATTGCCTCTTTGCTGGTTTGAACCACATCCCTGTGACAGAGAAAAGAAACAGAACAAAAACGTTTTAGATTATACTCTCTCTAAGGTACGACCAATATGGATTATTTGAGGCTAAACTTGAATAAGTTGTTTTTGTTTTTCTTTTATAAGCAAAGGGATCTTATTTTACCTCCCAGTATCAACATATGTGAGACAGTACGAGGTCCTGAAATTTCACCTAGAACACAACTGGTGCTGCTGGGCAGAATTAAAAGCCTGATATGTTCATTTTGTATAACGAAACGAATTTCAAACATTGAGACTAACAAGAGCTAACGGGGAATATACTGTACTGTACAGTGGGCATTCACAATGACGAAACATGTATATGTTCAATGAATGAATGACTGAATGAAGTCCATTTGGTCATCTGCCATCCTCTTGGTGATGAACAACCATAATAAAGGCAACCAACAGGCGAGGTTACATCAGCAAGCGGCGATGGGAAGCTTCTAATCATCTCCAGAAACTTGCGTGTTTGGCGGTTAGCCAAAACGCAACACACACCGGAAGTGTAGAGCAGCCGAGAGATACATTTCCGACTCAACGTTTTGACTACATGTAAACAAACCAATTAAAAAAAAAGATACAAAATTAATCTCCTTAACCTGAGAGAGCGGTCGAAGTCACCGCCATCTCGTTTCGGCGACTGCTTCCCGAAGTAGTCGGCGAGTTTGGCGTTGGTGCCGCTGTTAGCCGAAGCGCTCGCCGACCGCGCCAAAAGCCGGCTGGGAGCCTCGCCGACCGACTGGCATCTCCGCGGTGTCCCGCTGACCCTGCTTCCGTGTCGGGCATGGTGCATCCGAAGAGCGGCGTTTCCACAAGCGTTACGAATTACGGATAATTTCATTTTCGGGTCTTCGTTCCTATTAAAAAAGTCTAAAACCTGTTTGATAACTTGATGACTTCTGCCAGCGAGTTGGCCAAACTAGCAAGTGATGTCAGGGTCCCGATGGATGCGTGCCCTCTTCAAAGACCGTGAGAAATGTGGGACTTCGGGTAGTGTCAACAAGAAACAAAACGACCAATAAATGCTGTCTACGCCCCAAATGAAGGCATCAATGAATTAGAACGTAATGGACATTTTTTGTTTGTTAGAAGCGACAATTTTCACGGGAATCGATGATCACGCCGTACGTAAACTTAATATTTGCGAGTTACTCCTGAACGCAACAGCATGGCAAAAGTTAAACACGAGCATGTTTTGACACTGGTCAAATCGATCACGAGACGCCACTTAATTTATTGACAAACTTTACAAAAACCTTAATTTCCGACTTTCCCATCTATTATTCAATTTTTTTCTTTATTTTCAAGACCGTTGCTAAAAGCAGGTTGGCCCCACGATACGCCAGCGTGTTCGCCATATTGAATGTGTCAACAGACTAGAAATCTCAGTTCGTTTTCCTCGCTCTTCTGTTTAAATTAAGATTACCAGTAACAATCCTAAACCGAATTTCAAACAGCCATTGTAAGCAAAATCAGTGAACGCAACAAACGCGGTGCTTAATTTGGGTCAATTTAGTCATTCAATTTAGTCACTTCAGATCGGTGCTCCAGCTGCTGATCACACCTTTTTTTGGTTACTTCACGTCACAAACCCACCGGTCTTCATTCCTACCTCATGACTTCTGACTATCGCACAAAAGCCAACCGACGTCGGCGGCCGGTGATTTCTGATCCCTGCATGCAGATGTAGGGCGCCCCCATTGCTGCTCGCTGCACTTTGGGATGGTGCTAAGATATCAGGCACCTCAAATTTAAGACAGACATTGGACACACAGCAAAGGTAAGACACATTTATTTCGTCATTGTCCTGAAGGTTTAAATTTGTGTGGCGTGTGCACCTTAAAATCCACTTTTATGGCTTCAAATTTTGTATAAAAATGGGTCAAATGCATGAAACACTACAGTATGTGACTCATTTGTGTTGTTTATTCAGTGCATCATTAAGTTTAGTGAAGTGGAAAGCATGTCAATGACCATTAAATAACTGACGTGTGTTATCTTGAATCCCACCAGATCAGTGAGTAACAAACATTACAGGTGCATCTCAATAATTTTTTCATATTGAATAGTAAAGTTCATTTATTTCAGTTGTTCGTTTCAAAATGTGCATGTCCTCTAACGAGATTCATAAAACATATTGGAAAATATTTCCTAATTCCGACTTTATTTTGGGATTAAAAGCAGTTTCAGATAGTTTCTTATGTCAAATTCAAATCCGTTGAATAGGGAATTATGGGGAATCTTTGGCTGATAAATGCAATCATCGAAATTCAATATAAAAATAAATCACTCGTGACACATTTCACTCTGTATTTAAGTATGCAGTGAATCTTAATGCAGTTATATATGAAAGTTTCCTTTTGAATAAAGATACTGACATAGATTAATCTTTCTATGATATTCTAATAACTCATTATTAGCCATAGTCATTGCAGTCTTCCTTTTCTCAAGTATTTGCTTTTTTTTTTTTTTTTTTAATGGGTTCACAGATGACAATACTTGTCTGAATACCTCTTTGGACACATGGTATCGCTCTTCGCAGATAAAAATGTGGGCCTCAAAGCATCGCTTACAGTATTGTGCTAAAATGCAAGGTATCTACTGAACATGATGCTTCGTCCCCGATAAGGAATCAAAATACATACTCGGACAACGGCATCAGTCAGGTGATAAGTTAAAGAAACCAGTTTGGTGAGGCCTAACAGCTTCAAAAGTATTCTATTGAAAACCTGTCTGGCCAGTGCCGGGCACTGGGTGGATTCCACCTTGAAGAAAGAAGGCACTTTGATTTCTTGTGTAGACATTTTGCCAAATATAACCTTTTATGCAAGTATGTCTAAAAACTCTCAGGTCAGGCTACAGAGACAAACACAAGTAGCTTACCATGTCTACATGCAATGGTGGCAAAAGTACTCACAGCTGTTCATATTAAGTAGAAGTACATGAAATTGTGTAAAAATAGAAGTACCCTTACATTTGTGAGTCTTTACCCGACTAGAAATGGGAAAAAAAAATCTTGTGTGTTGTTTCAGAGCCTGCTAGCAAGGGCTTGATTTGAAACTAGCTAAACGCGTTACCGTAGCTTTGCTAAAGTTGTGAACAGATGAACAAAAAAAAAAAGTTAAATTAACTCTTCAGAGCTGAAAATTACACCTTACATGTTTGTTTTTTTGCTGGGGTTCTGAAGCTGGTGTTAGGCAGGCGCAATTTGCCACGAATAATTTCATCGGTGATCTTGAATAAGGCCACACATGGCTAATGTCTTGCCTCAGTGAATATTATTGTCGTCGTTGTTCATGCCGCCTGGTTCACGTTCCTCCATGTCACCAGTGTGCTTGTTTTTTAGTTCCGTCTCAACTGGTTTGACAGCTTAAGACGGAAACTGCATTTGTATTTGTATATAAAAACCTTAAAACCTGTAAACTCTCATTTATTTGCAGCTCACACCATGAGGGACCGACTGAGCAACATGCAGGAATTGTCCAGCAACCACGTGGAATCGATGGAGTATTCCGAGTCGGCTTTATCGGACTCCCTTAGCAACGTGGACTTGGAGGACGAGCTCCCCCATGAGGCGGTGGTGTTCGACAACAGCCCCGCCGTGGCAAAGATCTTCGAGCAGGCGCAGGCCATCCACAAAGACGTCCAGCTCATTCGTCTGGAGGTGAAACGGCTGCGCGAGCAGAACTCTCGCATGTTCCAGGGCGTCACCACCATGAGCACCATCAAGAGGGACGCAAACACCATCGGCGCCGACATAAAGACTCGGGCCGAGCGCGTTTTGTCCAACCTGCGGGACATGGATAACACGGCCCACAAATTGGATGAAATCCACGGCCCCAATTCAGCCGTCACGCGCATCGCCCGGACCCAGTACGCCTGCCTGAGCAACGGCTTCCGTGACGCTATGTTTGATTATAATGAGGCGGAAATGAGCCACCGAGACAACTGTAAAGCCCAGATCCAGAGGCAGATGGAAATCGTGGGGCGCGACGTGACCGGCGATGAGGTGGAGGAGATGATCGAGAAAGGCCACTGGAACATCTTTACCGACAACATCATGGCGGAGGGCAAAACGGCCCGCACGGCTCTATCCCTGATCGAGAAGCGTCACCAGGAACTGGTGGACCTGGAGAACCGCATCAAGGGGGTCCACGAGATCTTCCTGGATGTCGCCCTGCTGGTGGAGGAGCAAGGCCCCATGCTCAACTCCATCGAGACCAATGTTCAGAAAACAGACGAGAACTTGCAGGATGCGCTCTTTAAACTCGGCAAGGCCAAGCGTCACGACAGGAACAATCCGTTTAAAAAGATGTTTTGTAGTTGCTTCCCTTGCTTTGACTAAAGCGAGGAGTGAAAGCCCGTGTGAATCCACAAGTTACACAAACACTCGACACAAGATGTGACCCACGGCTGCGTTGTGTGTGTGCCACGTGTTTCCCGTTTAATGAGTGAAACAGAGGGAGGAGTTTCAATCAGAATTTCCTGCAGGGTGAATTTTCTGTTTCCAGGAAGTGAAACGCGGAAGTTAGTGAGAGACGCTGGGATAAAAATACTTTCGAGATTACGCTCGGGTTATTTGTTTGAAAGAATTCTCACAGGTAGGAGAACAGGAAACGAGAAAATGAGTTTCCACACGGAGAATGATCATAATGACAAAACAATGACCATCACGCAATCAGACTATATTTCGCAAAACATAATTCCGAGTCATAGTCTCAAAATTAATTTCCAATATGTCCTCATCCAGTCAAAAGCAACTGCAGTAAATCCAGATTCGTTTTTGATCCGTTTTAGATAAATCCACAAAATTGAGCATCCCAGCTAAAGCTGTTTCCTGTTAATTTTCAGTACCAGCCAATTCTGGACCAAGTCTGAAAAGACGTTTAAAAACGTCTTTGGGAGTGAATGAGTTCAGAGCTTCTATGCATATGCTTGACCCTTATGTAAATATTGTAAAAAAAAAAAAAAAAAATGGAATTGTCATTAGAATGTCTTTTATGTCTAGGATTTATTCAATTACATGCCTGACGACCAAAAAGCTTGTTTTCACACTAATTTGCACAACACGGTTTTAACCCTTTCATGCTCCCTGATGTCCTAAGCTGTCCACTGTAGTCACCGCTGTCCCTGAAAGGGTTAAATCGTGAGCTTCAAGGGTATCATGTGACGCCTCACCGCGATGGATTTATGTATGCAACATGATTTTATTTAATTTATCAATTGTACTGCCTCAAAATTCTGTTCTGCCTTCAAACATAAAAAAAAAAAAAAAAAAAGCTCCAATGTGTCTTTACTCAAACCCTACCCAGAAAATACCCTTCTAAAAAAATAAATAAATAAATAAATAAATAAATAATACCGCTGTCATTGGGAAATTTGTTTAAAAATTTGACCACTCATAGACGAAAGCTCCAATGTGTCTTTACTCAAACCCTACCCAGAAAAATCCCTTCTAAAAAAATAAATAAATAAATAAAATAATAATACCGCTGTCATTGGGAAATTTGTTTAAAAATTTGACCACTCATAGACGAGGAAAAAAAAAAGATTTGCCTTTTATTTTTGGAACGCAGGAGTCATCATAGAATCTTTTACAGCAAAAAAAAATAAAAACTCCTTGTGGCGTGACACCAATGGGTTTTGATGAACAGGTCCACCCGGTCTTGAACTTCCTTCAATGTAACATACCATTGCAAAGAAACTAAGAAACCTTCCAGGAAGAACTAGTACTAAGGGAGGGCCTCGAAAGGGATGTGGCTTCTGCATGCGCCGTACGTCAGATAGTCAACTTTCCTTCAACGGAGTTCTCATCATGTTCTCTCAAGTCGTTTGGATTTAATCCATCGGAGGCAGGTGCGCTGTCAGGGGTCAGCGGATTTTGGATCTCGAGTGAGGACATCAGAAAAAGGGTAAGCTAAAATCGCTGCGGCTTGTCGATGATAAAACCAATCCAACTAATTAGTGCAGTACACCTGTTGAATGATCAATTCGGGGAGAAACTTTTTGGGAGCGTTACTTTCCACATTCTGGTGAGTCTTTCTTCTCCTCTTTTATTTTTGATAATAGCTTGGCCTGATGTTTGTGTTGTCACTGTGATGTTATTATCTAATTTCTCCACACGTATCGAATGAATAGTCTCCAATGTTTAGTTTGGATGGATGCCGTTGGATCAAAGTGGGGGTGGGATATTGAAAAGTGTATTGACCGCTGGTACCTTGGGTCCAACAACAAGCCATCAAAATGATGCCGCAATTTCCGCTGCAAGGTACAAGATATAAATTGGCTACTATCACATACAATGCCCAAAATTAGCATGGCTATCAGTACTATCACAGGAAAGAAAACGTAACCCTACCAAAAAAAATAAAAATAAAATCATAAAACAGTCCGACAAGTTTTATTCTGAAAAAAAAAATAAAATAAAAAATCAGCCGACTACTACTTGGATGAGTCAAAACAGTTTCAGCTACATCGACCGGCGCAACTGTTTTGGGGCAGATTACATTGACATGGCAACACAGAACTAAAATCTGATTGGACCAAAAATATCTATATAAAAATTCAACATACGAACAGTACTGGAGGCACTGCAGCCAAGTGAAACTGAAATTGTTCAATTCCAGCTCCGGGCTCCTTGTGTGGAGTTTGCATCTTCTCCCCGGGCCTACGTGGGTTTTCACCGGGTACTCCGGTTTCCTCCCACATTCCAAAAACATGCATGGCAGGCTGATTGAATACTCAAAATTGTCCCTCGGTGTGAGTGTGAGCGCAGATGGTTGTTCGTCTCTGTGTGCCCTGCGATTGGCTGGCAAGCGGTTCAGGGTGTCCCCCACCGACTGCCCGAAGATGGCTGGGATATGCTCCAGAAGCCCCCACGACCCATGTGGGAATAAGTGGATTGGAAAATGGATGGATGGAACAAATATTTGATTTTAGCGATCTACGAAGGCTTTGCTGACCCTGGTCACTGTGTTTCACCGTATCACACACCGGAATTGAGAATAATAACACCGTCTTCTCTATTCCAGAGGCAGAATGCGGGACATGCTTGAGACACTGCGCAACGTCAGCGAGGCCTGGGAGGATGAGGAGCACATGGAATACGACGAGAGCAAGCTGCCCAAAGATCAAGAGGCGATCGTCTTTGAGAACTCCTTGGACATTGAGAGGATCCTGAAGGAAGCCGAGTCCATCCGCAAGGAGATTTCCTTGCTCCTCTTGGAGGTGGAGCGCCTAAAGAAGAACAACGAGCGCTTTCGCACCACTGTCCGTCACCTCTCCTCGGTCAAGCGGGACTCGGACGAGATCGCCAGGGGGATCCAGAAACAAGGGCAAATGCTGCATACTCGCATTTTGGCACTGGGTGCGGAGAGCACAAAGATGGCGGAAAGGGAAGGGCCCAACTCGGCTTCGAGCCGCATCGCTTGCATGCAGTTTGACTCGCTCATCCTTGCCTTCCACGCC